CGGGACAGGAGACAGAGGGCAGCAGGGGCGGCTTTGAATTTCCTGCCCTTTCCCCCCTGCCTTTCGTAGGTCGAAGCTCCGGCTGCAAGTCGAACTAAAATTTTGCGGCCAAAGCTTTTTGTACCTCGAAATTTCCGTAAGTAGGGACCTTCGTAAGTCGAGGGTCCACTGTAAATTGTAGGAATAATCCATTAGTCTAGAGTGAGTTATATCCCCTTAGATGCCAGGTGTAGGGAAATGTCTTAAACTTGTGACAAAAAGATAATAATAGGGCAGGTCATCACTGAAAATGGCTACTGACTTCTATGCCCTTTCCAGCCTCTCTTTGAGGCGGTACTATGCAAACAGTCTTTCTTTGTGATTATAAAACAGCTATGGATCTATGGTTCCCAATCTTGGGTAACTCAGGTGTTCTTCCCAGAAACCTTCACCACCAGCTGTGGTGGTCAGGGTTTCTGGGAGCTGCAGTCCAAAAACACCGGAATTACCCAAGGTTGGGAACCACTGGTCTAGACTGCTGAACGTGATATCCTAAATAATGTATATATGGTATCTTCTGATGGCAGGAGACTAATTAATAGACACAAAAGCACTACAATATGTCATGTATAGCACAGGTACAGTCTGCAGGCACACAACCAATCTGGGAAACAATGTACACCATCTTGCCTTCCATTATGGACGAAAAGTGGGATATAAATGTAAAATAAATCATGAAAAAAGAATGAACAAAAATTTTATGGACGTATGTGACTTGCTCTGTCCCCTTTCTGATCCTATGATAAGTGACATTAAAAATTAGGTAACCTGTAGCCTGACAATTGAACAAGTCCCTGAGCCTGACCTCAAAAAAATTGGACATTTCAAATTCAGTATTCATTGTTGGACAAGCACTATTAGTTACTTTAGCACTCTCCTCTTCCATGTTTTTTTTAAACTTTAAAACTTTTTTATATAGAAGCAAAAGCAAGCAAGAAAAAAGAAAGAAATACCAAACAAATAAAAAAGCCCAAAAACAAAACAAAGAGAAAATAGCTATAACATCAGTGACAGAAAACAGCATTTTAAAATGTTTTTCTTTTATTTTACACATGTAGACAATGTAAGTGAGCTATATTGGCTGTCTGTAGTTTTTCTATATACTTTTAAATTTTATTTAAAATTTATTTAAATAACTATGTTTAACCTCTTTTACATCATCTGAAGGAAAGCATGGTACAAAATGACTGAAATCCAACAGCAAAACTTACACCACATAAGGCTAATAATGTAATCACCTGCAGCAGTTTTTGTAAGTTAAAATTTTCTAACTCCATGCTTCCCGAAGGCCCCCTGGGATCCCTTTTGTCATGAAGAAACCACAGGGTGCTGCAGTCTGGGGTGGAGGACCCTTAAGTTCTAAAATTGCTGCCACTGGCAAAATCACCTCAACAAGAGTGACTTTTTATAAAATAAAGACTTGCCCTCTTTCATCCCATGGTCCCCAACAGCTCCCCCAAGGATTCCCAAGGGAGCCTAAGGACCTTCAGGGAAAGGGGATTGGAGATTTTTAATTTATAAAAACCTGTTGTAGTTTTTTAAAAAATATCATTTTTAGTATCATTTTTAAATAATATCATCATTAGAGATGGGGACAAATATAAAAATGAATCAGTTTTTTCAATGAATATAGCCGATTTGTCAAATATTTGTCGATCTGTATTCGTCAAATTTTGAGTCTCAACGAATATGGATCGACAAATATTTACCCATTTTTATTTGTCACCATACAGAAAAAAATCTTATGGCTTTTCCATTCTGCCTACTGGCCTGCTGATCAGCTGATTGGTAGGCCAAAAGACAGCCACCCACCTCCACAGCTACCCACCCCCACAGCCTACCCTCACCCCCTTTCTCTCCCTACCTTAGCCCCCCTACCCCCACCAACACCCCCTTACAGTAATTGTTGTTGCCACCGAGATCTCCATCAGGCCTCTGCAGCTATAGAAAGGGAAACTGGCTGTCCTTTGCAAAGATGGCGACTGTGGCTTCATTTCAGGTAGTGAAGCTACAGCTGCCATCTTTGCAAAGGGCAGACTGGATTCCCTTAGCCTGCCTTTTTTTTAAAGTAAGCCCCATGAATCGACAAATAAATTTGTTATTCATCACTTCATGTGGGCAACTTCGTGCTTCGTGAGTCATCAACTTTTGATGATTCACGAAGCAAGATGACTCGCCAAAATGGTCGTCCCCATTTCTAATCATCATCCTTATGCAGTGTAAGTTCTGCTACTGGATTTTAACCATTGTGTAAATCTAAGACTTGCAAATACGCTGAAATCATGTACTCTTACTAACTATTAAAAACCTATTTTAAGGTGGATTTAAGTTTATGTCTCAATATGGTACCATAGCTACCGTATTTGCTGGCGAACAAGACAACTTTTTTGGCCCAAAAAACATGCCTCCAAGTGGGGGGGGGTCGTCTTGTACACTGGGTGCACTTCATTTGGGCCAGGAAGGAGCTACCGCCGCTGTTGAGTGAGTGACATGGGGCCGTGCTGGCCAGGGAGGAAGGCAGGCGGGCAGGCAGGCAGTTGGTCCGGATGGAGGGAGGGAAGCAGAGCTGGCCATGCCTGAGCGGCCAGAGCCTGCCGCGTCCGCGCCACTAAGCCAACTGCGTGCTCGCTCGCCCGCCCCCCACCGCTTCCCCTCTTCCTCCTCCTCCCGCCACCTGCCCAGCCTCTTCTCTTTCTCACCCTCCTCCCCGCCGGCCATGAACTTCCAGGGTGGGCCCGGGCAGAGCCCCGGGCAGCCAGCGCTGCAGCAGAGCCGTCCACTCTATATTTTGAGTGGAAATGTTGGGGGGTCGTCTTATACGGCCAGTCGTCTTGTATGCCAGCAAATACGGTATATATACCAGGCTTTCAAAATTTAAAACTATGCAATTTTCCAACTTTTTCTTACTACTCTCTAAGCAATCATCAGCTGGAGACTGACTGTTGTTGTCATTCTACCTCATGAACAGGCTAAGTGTGTTGCAAGGGATGAATTTTTGGAAGGTATTTTTGCAGCCCCAAAGTGCTCCCCAGAAATATGTATGTCTATTTTATACCAAAAAAATAAATAATATAAAAAAATGTTAATTTTTTTTTAAAAATGCCTATTTTGCCTATACAATACAAGGCCTGAGGAGCAGTAAATTTCTCCTCCTCCAAACCCAAAAGAATCCCATTCAGGTACTTTCTGTTTAATTTTTCTTTTATGGTAATTTTTGGGAACTTCTAGGCCCCATATGGCCATGGGAGACAGGGGATTTGAATTTGGTCCCCAAGCCCTCACACACGGCTCATCTCATTTAGTTCCTCTCAGATTATTTATAGAGCCAGTGCTGGTATGGCATATATAATTTGACATGTATAACATTCTTACCTCTACACAGTTGTCGCAGACACTGCAATGAGAGCAACGTGGGGGGCGGTAGAAGCGGCATGTTGCACACCATTTCATGCGCACCTGAATACCTTTTATTTCCACAGTCTTATATAGTGGGGCTCGGAAGTCATCTTCTTTATCTTCATCTTCTTCAGCTGAAAGAAAAAGCCAATAAAGTATGACAAAGCAAGCTCAAATACACTACTTCCTGATTTCACAAATGCACAGAGCTTGCTATTTGCATTTGTCAATGTTCTAGTGAGATTTCCTTCTGTTCTTCTGAGCTGGTGGAGGGGGAGGCATTGTATGGGACCCTGAGAAAACTCTGAAAGCAGCAATATGTTATAGTGCTTTCTGAGCCTCTCTGAAGCTTAAGAGGATAAAGTAAAGAACAGGTTACTTACCTGTAACTGTGGTTCTTTGAGTGGCCTTCTGTGAATTCACACACATGGGTCCCTCTGCACCTGCCAGACAATCTTTGGGAATGTTCCAGAGCTTCAACGGCCTTTATCCACCTCCCTAGTATGAATGCTCCACTCAACAGTTTGTCCTCAGTTCCCTCGACCTGCCACAGGTCCCAAAATGATGACCCAACATAACAGCGAGTAGGTTGAATAGGTTGGGTGAAGTTACAGATGACCACCTGAAGAACCACAGCTACAAGTATGCAACCTGTCTTCCTTCTTCATGGTCAGATATTTACCAGGCCTTGATGGGATCACATTATCCGTGAAGGATCAGGTTTGCAGCTTCAGGGCACTCTTGGACCCAGCTCTCCACAGAAACATAAATACCGTTTCCCTGAAAATAAGATCTAACCCGAAAATAAGCCCTAGTATGATTTTTCAGGATGCTCGTAATATAAGCCTTACCCAAAAATTAAGTCCCAGTTAAGTGAAACCCCACTCTCCACCATTACGCAGCAACTAGAACATGACATGACTGTATTTGAATAAATGTAGATTGTTATACATGAAAAAAATAAAACATCCCCTGAAAATAAGCCCTAATGCATTTTTGGAGCAAAAATTAATATAAGACCCTGTCTTATTTTTGGGGAAACATGGTATCAACTGTGGCCAACAGTGCCTTTTATCAACCTCATTTGATTGCCCAGATGTACCACTACCTAGATAATAAACAACAGAAGTTCATGTACTGATCATCTCTAAAATAAGAGTACTGCAACACTTTCTATGTAGGGCTACCTTTGAAGCCCACACAGATAAAAAATGCAGTGGCTAGACTGGTTACAAGTACCAGCAGATATTAACGAATACAGTATCCCCAATCTTGGCATGCCTTTTTTCGCTTCCTGTTATTTTCCATTATCAATTTAAGGTGCTAGTCATAACCTATAAATTCCTTACAGTTTAGGGCCTTGATATTTTGTGGAACACATTTCCCACAAAACAGTTACCCATCTCATCTGCTCCTTGCAGTCCTTGGTGTTAAGAACAGAAATACCCGAGGAATCCAAAACAACCAGCACTAGGAACTGAGCTTTTTTGGTCATGGCCCCTTTACTCTGAAATAAGCTTCCTACAGAGGTTTGATATGTGCCATCCTTCTCAGTTTTAGGAACCTAATTAAAACAAAATTATATAAAACTGCCTTCTTCTATTGGTGACTATTGACTTCAGATGCTCAAAGGGTTTTAATTCGTACATTTCTATTTAAAGGCAGGTTCGTTGTTTTAGCTAGCGACAAGGTTTATTGTGCTTTATTGTATTTTTATAGTATTTATTACACTGTGTTTTTATTGTATAATTTTATTGTATGTTATGGACTACCGTGTTTTCCCGAAAATAAGACAGGGTCTTATATTAATTTTTGCTCCAAAAATGCATTAGGGCTTATTTTCAGGGGATTTTTTTCATGTACAACAATCTACATTTATGCAAATACTGTCATGTCATCTTCTTCCGGTTGCTGCACAATAGTGGAGAGTGAGGTTTCACTTAACTGGGGCTAGTTTTGGGGCAGGGCTTATATTACAAGCATCCTGAAAAATCATAATAGGGCTTATTTTCAGGGTAGGTCTTATTTTTGGGGAAACAGGGTACTCTGAGAGTGGTAACACTAATTCGGAGATATAGAAGTGGATATAATAAGCAAACAAATACATGTATTTTTTGTTCCAACACTAATACTCTGTGTAGGAGAGAGTCCTCTCACCATTTTCTATATAAAATGAGATTGTCTGAAATTTTTTCAGCCTTCAATGTTGAGCTATGTTCCTTACAGTGAAGAGTATCTATTCTGTTGTTCAAGCTCTCTTCTGTTTTTATCCTATCAGTACTGATGTTATTAATATTACTATAATTCTCTTTCAATGTTGAGGATCAGGATTAAGCTCATTGTGGTGGTGGGAATGATGAGCCACCATGTTTATGTGAGCGAGATTTTATTATTTTGTAGATATGAAAAAGAAAGCAAAAAGAGAGAGATGAAGGTAAGTAAACAAACTATTTACAGATCTTAAAGAATTGATATTGAAGAATAATTGCTCTGGAACATTCTCAAGGTTCTGCCTCAGTGGTGGTTAAGAGGGAACTGAGGAGCAACTATTAGGTGAAGGGTGTGTACTAGGAAGATGGAGTAAAGCTCTGGAATATTCCCAAACAGTGTCTGCACAGGCACAGAGGAACCCATGCTGGTGACTCAGAGAAACCACAAAGACGCCCTTGCTCAACCTGAAGCTGTGGATGAAGGTGGGGCTTTATCCCCAAGTTTGCACTAGAGTCTTATGAGTATTCCAGTAACAGCCTTCACCAAGTTGGGTCTTTTTGTATAACATCATATCCTACCAGCAGCATTTAGCAGGGGCAATGGTCAAGGATGATGGAGTCTGCAATCCAAAATCCAAGGAACTCAACTCAGATAAGGCTGTTTCTGAGGATATCAAAAGGATTTTCCAAGTTTTCATTTTCCAGTGGCTAAGTGACATTCAAGGACTCTGACCGGCAGTTTACAACTTACATAATGTAAGTTTACTGTACTGCAGTGGCCAAGTGTACATTTTATAAACTGCATTTAATCTTTGTTAACACCTCTTCATTTCTGATCACCAGGATCCTGAAATATTATGCACTGGGTCTGGAAAACTAAAATACGTATTCCCAAATAAAAAAGGTCATCGTCGGTGCATTGCAAAATTCTTCCTGGGCAGGAGCACCTCTCACCTCGAGGAAATATGCCTGGATCCATGAAGGTGGCCATACTGAAGTTGGCCAACACAAAAAGAAAGACCACAGCATTGTAAATGGGTATAATGGGGGAGATATAGAAGCTGAGCCCTGGGCACCTGCAAATAAACAAAAAACAAAGAAAAGATAAGACACCACAGACATAGTAGCCTTTTAGCTATAATCACTACATTTTGTTTCAGCATAAAATAAAAGCTTTCAGACCTTTTCATCTAAACAAAGCTGGAAGATTACAAGTGCACACTATTTTTTTGTTTTTAATTAGCATCTCCAGTATAGTGTTGTGGATAGAATAATGGCTCAGGACTCATACCTAGGTTCAAATGGTAAAACCCCTCCTTAAATATACCTTGGAAATCCTGCAAGGTCACTTTAAGTCTGATGCAACTTGACAGCACATAAGGCAAAAGCAAAACCTCTCCACATACCCAGACCTGGATTGCTAGAATGTTCAAAAACAGAGGTCTGGATTGCATATGGACCAGCATATTGGCTAGTACAAACCAGTCACCCTTCCTGAGAATAGGAGTGCTTAAACAAATCTTTGATAGGTGACTGGTTTAACGGTTTTTCTGAACCTTATGGGAGCTAGAATGGTAATATGCCTCTCTTTTAACTACGGTAGTAAGAGAAAGAAGTCACAGTATATTTTAGGGTTGCTACTATGTCTTGTTGAGTGTGAAACAAACTAGAGCACCGATTCAAGCTGGGTTCAGGCATCACAAATTTTACCATGCCCAAAAGTTCTGTCATTTGCTTACGCAATCTAATTTGAAGCAAGCATCTATGGAGTAAGAAGAGCCAGTTATCTCATGTTGGACAACAGACCCTGAACAAGGTAAGTACTATCTTTAAAGAAATACTATCTAATATGGAAAGGACAAACTAATATTGACATCTGTTTTGGGATGCACATGTTTCTTTTGGTCTTTGGAAAGATAGTCCAATAATTTATATGTAGTCTTAGACTCAAGTTCACACTCTCACTAAAAATTGTTGGTACTGATCCAAACACAAACAGGAACTCATTAGCTCTGTTGATTTATTGCCCTACCAAACCAAATTCAATTTGACTTAAACATCTCCAATGTGCTACCCCAAATACCTGGTTTCAAAAACAAAAAGTGAAGTTATTTTAAAGTTAGCTTAATTGGATAATAAATATATGCATTATCTCCCAGAAAAAATATTTTCTAATCTGGAACAAGAAGATTACAGACGAAGATCAACTCCTCCAAACTGCCTCACTGTTCCTATACTATTCTTTTGACACTCTGTAACTCTAACTCTGTACAGACAAAATAGAAAAGGTCTCCTTTACTTTTGAATGTAAAATACAAGCAGTAATTTCTCACTTATAGCTGCAGATTTTTAAAATTATGATGCTAGCAAGGCAAAAAGACTGAAATCTCTTCTGCTGTATGTTAACACTGGCAATGCCACCACCTTTTCAGAGATGAGCATAGTAAAAAAAAGGTTTTTAATCCCAATTGCATCAAAAGAAATTGATTAAGAGCTCTCACAAAATGCTGTTTACATCTTCACTGCAGGCACAAGGGATGTATCTTATTGAAGCCTAAATAAATATTTGACGTTAATAGCCACTCCAGTCATCCAGAACCTATTAACAACCCAGTTACATTAACAGCCATACCCAAACTCATTCTTGACACTGGTATAATAAATTTTAACAGATGTCAGTGTGCTCCTCCCACATTTATGCAAGTTCATTTTTTGTGCTGCATGGCTAAAGCAAGTGAAATCCAATTTGGGAAATTCAGGCTCAGATTTTACCTCAGCTGTGAACTTATCTGATAGCCTTAGTAAACAACTCCTCTGAACTTCACTTACCAATCAGGTAAGAATACTATTAACTGGTTCACAGTTTACACAGCTACTGCAAGGATTACCATAATAATGCTTAGAAAGTGCTTTGAACTCCTTCAAAAATGAGAATAAAATATAATTTTTACTCTTCTATCCACCAGGACCTTCAACATGCTGTATAATTCAAAGCAAACAATAAAAATTCATTACAATAGCAAAACATAATCATAGACTGAACTTTCCTTCAGACAAACCAAAGAACAACTATAATTCATAGAAGCCCTTGCAAAACAGTAGAGTTCTTACTGTCTCTGTGAACCAAACTATTTAGGGGGTTTCAAAATTGGGGTGCTGTTACAGTAAAAGTCCTACTACATACCACCAAACTAGTGTTTCTCAGTAGTACATAAGACACACAACAGAGCTCATATAAATACAGCAAATTATGGGCAAGCTCATATGGGGTGGGACATTAATAGTGCTCTTGGATTTTTCCCCAATACTCTAAATCAGGGGTCCCCAACCTTTTTCACCCCGCGGGCCGGCTGGGGAATGTGGAGCACATCCCATGCTCGTGCGCATGAGCGCATGCATGCGCAAATGGTGGTGTGGTGCTTGTGCAATTGGCAGGGTGGCACTCACGTGGGTGTGCTCATGTGCAAACGATGGCAAGGTGTTCATAAGGGTGCGCTAGAGCGTGCGTATGCACAAATCAGCTTTCAAGGGTGAGTGCGTGCAGGGAGGCGGGAGGTCTGTCTCCACGGCCCGGTCCAGCTCAGGCCACAGACTGGCACCAGGCTGCGGACTGGGGGTTGGGGACCTCTGCTCTAAATAAAAGAGTGATCTGACTTAGCATGTTTGACTTAATTAGAAACACAGTCTCAATATTATATTGAGACAAATTCAAAATTTTATACAAATTATTTTTATTAGAATGTTTACAACATATATTTTCTTATTTTCTTTGTTTATAAACATAAAGAGAAACATCACTCTTTATTCTTGTATTGTTAGCATACTCCTAGATATAATATTAACGTAATACTACAGTGACACATGCCTTAGTTACATCATGTTTGGATTATTGTAATGCGCTCTATGTGGGGCTGCCTTTGAAGAAAGTTCGGAAACTTCAGCTGGTGCAAAACTCTGCAGTCAGACTACTGACTGGGGCCAGCTACAGGGAGCATATAACACACCTGTTACAAGAACTGCACTGGCTAGCAATCCATTCCCAGGCCCAATTCAAAGTGCTAGTCATCACCTATAAAGCCCTATACAGCTTGGGTCCAGGCTACCTGAAGGACCGTATCTCCATATATGCCCCTTCTCGGTGATTAAGATCAGCAGAGGAAACCCTCCTCTCGGTCCCATTGCTAGCACAAGCACAGCTGATGGGGACACAGGAGAGGGCCTTCTCTGTGGCAGCTCCTAGGCTATGGAATGTTCTCCCTCGGGAGATCAGGATGGCCCCTTCCCTGTTATCCCTCCAAAAAAAGCTAAAGACCCATCTCTTCAGGCAGGCTTTTAACAATTGCAACTGAATCCCTAAACACAATTTCAGCAAATAATTTTATTTTTTTCCATGTTTTAATCTTTTAAATCATTTTAAAATCATATATTGCTTAATTTATCTTTTAAGTAAAGGTAAAGGTTCCCCTTGACATTTAGTCCAGTCATGACCGACTCTAGGGCGCGGTGCTCATCCCTGTTTCCAAGCCATAGAGCCAGCGTTTGTCCAAAGACAATCTTCCTGGTCACGTTGCCAGCGCGACTAGACACAGAACGCCGTTACCTTCCCACCGAGGTGGTACCTATTTATCTACTTGCATTTGCATGCTTTCGAACTGCTAGGTTGGCAGGAGCTGGGACAAGTGACGGGAGCTCACTCCATCACATGGATTCGATCTTATGACTGCAGGTCTTCTGACCTTGCAGCACAAAGGGTTCTGCGGTTTAACCCGCACCACCACCATGTCCCTCAATTTATTTTTTAATATTTAACTAATTGTGTTTTAAAATTGTGTGAATTTTAATGTTATGAGCTGCTTTTGGGTCCCTTGTTGGGAGAAACATGGCACATAAATAAAAATAAAAATAATAATGATAATATTTACATATGCCTCCTTCCTTCCTTCCTTCAGAGGTTTCACTATAATAATGCAACATCCTAAGATCCCCCCATCTCCACTTACATATTATGATTTTGAGGACCTGTGAGGTGTAGTAGATGAAGTGTCAGACTAAGATTCAGGAGACTTAGATTCAAATTCCAGCTCTGCCATGGAAATTCACTAGAACTTAGCAATATGAACATCTCACATACCTTGGAAGCCCTCTTAGTGTTACTATAAGGAAACTGACTGCATATAACAATGATTTTATTTTATATCTTGTTTAAGTCAGTACAATATATTTTGTTTATAAGTCAGTAAAATATATGTGGACTCTTACACATAGTTTCTGAGCATAATCGTACAAAAAAGAATATACAGTGGTGCCTCGCACAGCGAGGGTTAATCCGTTCCGGATTAACACTCGCTGTGTGAAACATCGCTCAACAGAAAGTAAAAAGCCATTGGAACGCATTAAACAGCGTTTAATGCGTTCCAATTCGGCCGAATACTCACCGTTGTGCGATGTTCCTGGATGGCCGGCAGCCATTTTCGTGCCCTCCCCTCGCTGAACGAGGGCGCGAAAACGCTGCGCGCGGCCATGCGAGACCGTGCTGTGATTTTCCCCCTATCTAGGTGCCGATTTGCGATCGCAAAAACGGCATCGTTGCGTGGATTCGTCGCTCTACAGAGCGACCGTTGCGCGAGGCACCACTGTATTACAGTGGACCCTTGACTTACAGACGGCTTTACTTACAGACTTTTTGAGTTACAGACTTCTCTGGCCGCAAAATTTAGGTTTGACTTGCAGACTGAGATTTGACTTACAGACCAGAAAAAAAACCAAAATGGAACAAAAACGGCCTGTTACGCGTTTAATCGGTTTTCATTACACTGTAGGTCAATGGAGACTTGACTTACAGACTTTTTGACTTGAGAACCGCCTTCCAATACGGATTAAGTTCTCAAGTCAAGACCCCACTGTAAAAATTTGAATCTGCCAAATTTGGCAAATATTGCATGGGTGCCTGTGTATAAATGTTATGAACCATTTTTGAATGAAACTTTTCTACAGAAATAGTAAGCATTAGATATTTGTCTATTAATTTTTTACATTTATATTAGCTTTTACCACTGGTATTTATGGCTTACCAGTA